GCAATCCCTACTGCCCCCTCCCTCCCCTCCGTCATTTCTCCCTCCCTCTGCTCCTCCACCCCCTCTCCCGCCTGCCCCCCCCCTCCTTAATCCTTTTTTCCGTATATCTAGCTGCTCCCTGTCACGTGTCGTCAGGGCAAACGAAAGACCGCCCGAGACTTCCGCAACGCGTAATGCCTCGAAGCTTGAGATAGCTGACAGTCTCATGGATCGAGGGGGCTGTCGCTATGACACCGCGCGCACTCGCTCAACCAATCCTCAACAGGTTCACGGATCAAGAGATAGGAAGCAGGGCTCTCGTCTCGGCGACGCGCACACTCGTCCCAACAATCCGACAACAAGCCCCCTGGACAGTGGTAAAACTAGTTGTCTCGCACCCCTTCCAGAGCACATCTTCCCCTACTCGGGGAGGGGTTTATCTCCGCTCCTGGTTAACAACACCTCCCTCCCTCACCCGACAGGCAGCAAACCCGAAACCATGCCACCCTCGTCATCCCACCGTCGCCAGGAACAAATACGCGTTGTGGCAAACTCTTGGACCAGGCGCGGGCGCCACACGATCCTGTTGCAATGATTGTTGGCAAGGATTGGAGGGGGGGCTCATATTGACTGGTGTACGGGCACGCCACCGCTGCCAACAGTGCAAGCTGATTGTGGTTGCACAGACCACGCGCACACACCGTGATGGCCATCCCGCCGCCATCTCGCGGTGGCGTTTGCCAGGGAGTGTGGGGGCGGGGGGGGCTGGCCATCGCTCGGACGTACATTCCCTGTGTTTTTTTCGGTTTCGTGCGTGGTTTTTCGCCAAATGATCGAGGATGCTCCTCGATGGTCCTCGCTGAAGGAAAAATACACACCACCGAGCGATGCCAAGGGGGGGGGCGCGTGGCTCACGTGGCGCACGTGAAGCACGTGGCGCCTCTGGCGCAGCGGGCGGGCCTTGCACGCCTGGGGCCCCCGGTGCGCCTTGCGCACCCGGTGCGCTGAGGCGCGCGGCGAGCGCGGCGCACCCCGCCGGCGTCGAAAACGCTGCAGTCGGTGTTGGCTCCCAGTGGCTGTCCGCTGGGCAGCGGCCGAGGAGCGGGGAGGCCGCATGCGGCTTGTGCGCAGCCTGGCCCCTCCCCAGCTCCCCCTTCCCCTGGGTCTGGCGGAGGGGGGAGGGGCGGGGGGGGGCAGCGCTCCAGTGAGCCCAGGATGCTCGAGATAGCCCAAGATGGCTCGAGACCCCGAGGCGCTTCGGAGCCTCCCAAGGATGGCCCCATCCCATGAGGCCAACATCTATCTCAAACCTAGAGATTATGAATGATGTGTGCCTCTGCTGTCTAGATGGCCCCAGAGCCCAGAGAGGAGCCCAAGAGGACTCCAAGAGCGCTCAAAGGGGCAATGCTTCTGCCTCCGCAAGGGGTGCCCCTAATGGAGCGCGCCGCCAGCGCTCTGTTGAGCAATGGGCTTAAAACATCTGCAAAGACCTCCTCCTCCTCCTCCTCGTCAGCCTCCTCCTGCCCCCCCTCTAGCTCCTCTTTCTTCTCCTCCTCCTCCTCCTCCTCCTCCTCCTCCTCCTCCTGCATTTCCTCTTCATCATCCTCGTCATCCTCGTCATCATCAACATCATCAACAGCAACAGCATCACCATCCTCAGCAGCAGCAGTATCATCATCAGCAGCATCACCATCATCATCATCATCATCATCATCATCATCAGCATCAGCATTATCATCATCATCATCATCATCATCATCATCATCATCATCATCATCATCATCATCATCATCATCATCATCATCATCATAATCAGCATCATCATCCTCATCATCATCAGCATCATCATCACCATGACCATCAGCAGCAACATCATTATCAGTATCAGTATCATCCTCATCATCACCACCACTGCCATCATCATAATCATCATCAGCACCAGCATCAGCAGCACCAGCATCAGCATCATCATCAGCAGCAGCATCAGCATCAGCACCAGCAGCACCAGCAGCACCAGCAGCACCAGCAGCACCATCATCGTCATCATCATCATCATCATCATCATCAGCATCATCATCATCATCATCATCATCATCATCCGCAGCAGCAGCAGCATCATCACCAACAGCATCAGCATGATAATCATCAACATCACCATCGTCACCAACACCATCACTATCAGCATCATCAGCAGCAGCAGCAACATCCTCAGCATCCTCAGAACAAGCGTCACCATCATCAGCATGATCATCAGCATCATCATCATCAGCAGCAGCATCATCATCATCATCATCATCGTCGTCATCATCATCAACATCAACAGCGTCATCAGCATCATCAGCATCGTCATCATTGTCATCATCATCAACACCAACAGCATCATCAGCATTGTCGTCCTCATCAGCAGCAGCATTGCCATGCCCATCATCAACAACAGCTACAGTAGCGTGATCAGCATCAGCATCAACATCAACATCAACATCGCCACCATCACCGTCACCATCACGATCATCAGCATCAGCATCAGCATCATCATCAGCATCAGCATCATCATTAACAGCATCATCATCGCCATCATCATCGGCGACATCATCATCATCATCATCATCATCATCATCATCATCATCATCATCATCATCAGCAGCAGCATCTTCATCACCATCATCACCATCGTTATCATAATCATCATAATCATGATCATCACCATCAGCACAACCAACATCAGAATTCGCATCCTCATCCTCACCCTCATCATCATCACCATCACCGTCACCATCACCATGAACAGCATCATTATCGTCGTCACCATCGTCATCATCGTCGCCGTCATCATCACCATCAGCATTATCATCACCACCATCAGCATCACCACAATATTCATCATCATCAGCATCATCATCAGCAGCATCATCATCATCAATCGTCCTCCTCCTCCTCCTCCTCCTCATCATCCTCCACTTCCTTCTCCTCCTCCTCCTCCTCCTCCCCCTCCTCCTCCTGGTCATAGTCCTCCTCCCCGTGCTGATCCTCCTCGGTCCCCTCATCATCCTCTGCCCCTCCTTCCGCCTACCTCCTCCTCTAAAACAATTCGCACGGCCATCGTGTCCTGATGGGCACGTGGGCACACGGAGAGGCGCCCAGGAATCCACCACGAGCCCCACGGATCGAGGGCCCCCTTCTCGGGGGGG